TGTTTTTATTTTTAATTTCATCAATTTCTGCCCTTTATTACTTCATTCCTTTTGCTTGCTTTGGGTTTATTTTATTCTTCCGAATTCTTATGGTAGGAGTTGGGATTAGTGATTTGAAACCATTCTTGTTTTCTAATATAAGAATTTCACATTATAAGCAACTCACACACTTTGATATGTTATAATTTTATTTTTGTCCAGTTAAAAAAATATATATATATACTTAATTTCCTTTTAGAATTCTCTATGAATTTGCCTTTGCAGCCACTCATAGAATTTGTCATGTGTTTCCTATCTTTTGGTTCTTAGCTATAATCAAGCGCTAAATTGAAATATAAAGGTTTTTTGCAAAGGATTTTTTTAAAATTGGGCAATTGGAGGATGGGAACAGTGCTGGGGAATTGGGGGAAGGGGAACAGACAAGTTACTGTCCTTTTGTTCTTCAGTCTAGTTGTGGAGGACGTTGCTTCACTGGCCCAAGTTGGCACCATCATTGCGCTCTTCCCAGGCGAGGCAGATCAGTCGCCGGCTTCTGGACGCCGCTCACGCTGCCTGCTGGCTATATACGGTAGCCCATGGCAACCCACTGCCACAGGGGCTGCAGCGTATGCCGTCGCCGGTGACTCACAGCAGCCCAGCTCCAGGTTGAGCTGTTGTTCAGCATCTTAGCTGTGGAGGGCAGTGTCACTGGCCCTCATATGTGGGATCCGAACCGGGGCCCTCTGGCGTCCCAAGCCAGTTCTTAACCATTGTGCCATTCGGCCAGCCCACAAAGGATTTTAATAGCTTCATTTATTGTTGTGAGTAATAATGGAATATTCATTTATATTGCTTTATTAAAAGTAATAATAGCTAGGGGCCGGCCAAGTGGCTCAGTTGGTTAAGAGCTCGCTCAAGAGTTTGAGCTCTGAGCAACAGCGGTTCAAGTCCCAGCCCGAGCTGAGCAGCGGCTGAGCTGCCAACAGGTGGCAGGATGGCTCAGCTAAAAAAAAAAAAAGTAATAATAGCTATAATGTATTGAGTGCTTACTATGTCCTAGGCATTATGTTGATCACTTTATGTGGTCATATCTCATTAAATTTACTCAACAACCACTTCATCTAGGCCCATTTTAAGATTGGGGAAAGTGACACACATTTCTTTTTTTAAATTAAAGTTTATTGGGGTGACAATTGTTAGTACAGTTACATAGGTTTCAGGTGTACAATTCTGTAATACATGATCTGACACACATATTTTAAGTGACTTGTCCAGAGTCACTCAGCCAGTAAGTGGTAGAGCTGGGATTTGAATGTAGGTTTGAGTCCATAGTTCTTAACCATTTTATTATATGACATTTCCTCTAGTTATTTGATTTCTTGCCTTCCCAGTAAGATTGTTAGCTTCTTGAAGGCAGATATTATGTCTTATTTATACTGATCTTCTTTTCCCTATAGCATCTGGAAAAAAATGTTAGACACACAGTAATGGACTCATTAATGTTTGTGGAACTAAATTTAATGAAATTAGCTGCCCAGTAAGAGAATCAAAACCATGACCCTTGCCATATTGCCCCAGGTTCTTACCAACCAAGATAACTTAGCGTAATATTCTGTCCAACAACAAAAATGCTGATAAAATATTTGTGACAATTGTAACGGTCAAGTCTTGGAGCCAGCACGATTTATAAGTATGACTAACTGAACAGAAGTCCATCTCCAACCTCTAATTTTTGGTTCTGGCCTCAGGCTGTCCTTTTGCTTTCTCTGGGCCTCTTTGTCATACTTTGACTTTTTAAACAGTTCAACTCTTTCACATGATTTCCATTCCCCCCCGCCTTCCCCTCTTCTCAATCTTGAGGCTTCTAGGTAAGATCTTAACCATTTATTTAAGGAATGTGTATATAAGTCTTACTATGTACGATGTACTTTCTAAGTACTTTATACACATTGACTCCTTATAAAAATCTTATGAGTTGGTACTATTATTGTTCCCTTTGTACAGATGAAGGAACTCCCACAGTACTTTCTAGTGGCCCATTATCCATTTCCCATACCCAGGAGAAAGCTGGGTGGCAGGCTGGAGGTGGGTATAAAGTGGAATCCAAAGCCTTACCTCTGATGTGGTCAGTTGCTTGCCTGTTGGGCTGTGCCCTCTGTCTGTAGAGGACAGTGCAGCTGTATAGTTGGGATGGTTTTGCCACAAAACAAGGGATTCTGTTGCCCTTTGGCATGATTCTCCCTGTCCAACCAGCATCTCATAATCTTTCCCTAACTGGCCTGCAGTTGGACACATACATACATACACACACACACACACACACACACACATGTGTAATGTTCATGTCATGGATTTGAAGCAGGGTACAGAGGCAAAAATATAGACTTGAAACTTGGTGAGACCTGAATGTGACTTCTCACTCAATCTTGGGTAAGTCACTTAATCACTTAGTGCTTTGGTTTTCTCAGCTATGAAATTGAAGAAGATGATAATGATTATAATAAAAACTGTGAGGGTTAAATGTTATACTGTATTTGAATACTTAGCCCAGTGATTGGCACATAGAAATGCTCAATACATGTTAGATATTTTTACAATTATTGATATGCATGGCCTTTTAATAGAGTATGGCTATTTCACCCTTTGGCATATGTATAGCTTGTGAAGCTGAATTTGAGGACTGAGAATAAGGTCTATCTTTATCTAGGAAATTTATCAGTCATTTTGAATCTTGCTCATGTTGTTTGTTTTGTTTTGTTGTTGTTTTCTTAGCTGAGTCATCGTGCCACCTGTTGGCAGCTCAGTGGCAGCTCAGCTCGGGCCAGGCATCCAACCGCTGTTGCTCAGAGCTCGCACTCTTGAGTGAGCTCTTAACCAACTGAGCCATTTGACTGGCCCCTCAGTCATTTTGAATCTTGACATTGATTTTATCTTATTCATCTTTGGCCTTCCACAGGTCCTTGGGATCAATTCCATTATCCTCAAGATTTGACTTTTGGTGCCCCAATTTCTAACTGGCCTTGTGTAAATGCCAGCATTCTTTTAAGGCAAACAGCAAAACCTGGCACCACAGTCCCTTATGCTGAGTACATTATGCAGCGTGTTTATGCTGTGGTTGCCACATAGGAGGCCCCCGGGGCAGAGTTAGGCCGGATCTACTTCACCTGAGGCTGTCAGTGACCCCCTGTTCTAGTCACTGAGGCTTGAGCAACAGTTTTCAGCCGTCAGTTACCCAGACCATGGAGTGTCCCTTTGAGTGACCCTGTTGTAAAACCATGGTAACCTGGCCAGTATGGGCAGGTAGGAGTGACATTGTATCAGTGTGCATCCTCCCTTTTATGGATCAAAGTAATCCCTGTTAAACTGCATGGCTGTGATGACCTACTGTGAACTAAGAGCATTCTCACCTTGGTCATGCCCTGAAAGCATATTAAGTCTAGGGCAGGGGATGAAGGAGGAGGTAGAGAGACCCCTGAAGTCAAAAGGAAGGAAAAAGGGACCTCCCTGACTCTCTACCTGAAATTATATTTCAAGGGAGGCTCTGATATAAGGCAGCGAGAGGGATATATGAGTTTGCGGTCTGGAGTCAGATAAACCTGGGTTTGAATCTTGGATCTACTGTCTTAAGTGTGGTGTTGATCAGGTCACTATGGTTCTTTGACCTGGTTTCCTCATCAACAAAATGGAATACATAATTGTACCTGTCTCATAAGATTGCTGTAAAAATTAAATGAGGGAGTTTATGTAAAGCAGTTAATTAGATACTTTCCCAGAATACCTTAAGTGCACATTATCACTATCATCATGGCATTGGTAACAAGAACAGCAGTAAGAAACACACTGGGAGAGCTGAAAAGCAGCACCTTGGGGCTTTTGTGCTGTTCGCTAGGGTCTGGTAACTTCTCTTAGTTTTATGCACGTATCTGTGAGCTCCAAGAGAAGAGCTGACATCCTGGAGGTCTTCAAGGTGTGGACTGCTTTCTCATTTGGGGCATAGGAGAAATCCTGGTATCATGGCTGCTTTGTGAGTGTGTGTGTAAGGAGACAGAGAGGGAGAGACTGAGACTCAACGTGTAGGAGGCACATTGAGTCAGTGGTAGTTGTATGTGACCCATCAAATCAGCTTTTCTTCAGGAGGGAGAGACTGTCTTTCTTCACTTCTCTCTTAGCAGTAAAGGACCATTTGCCTTTAATGATCAAGAAAGATGCTTAAATCCATCCTCAGAGCCCTCACAAGTGGAGTTCGTTTCTGACTTGGTTGTTCTTGACTTACAAAGTGTTTCTAGTGTGCGTTTGAACAAGTCAGGTATTGGGAGACAGTATCATTACGCAATGCTAATGCTGTAGTGGCTTTCTTCTCCTTTTCCTTTTCCCCCTCCTATTTTTTTTTTGCCTTTAAATCACAGTGCCCAATATGCAAAATAGATCAAAGGAAGCCTGGAAGGCTGCCACTTCTGTCGTTTCCACCTCCCACAGCTGCCCCTAAGGCAAGTTTAAGAAAATGGGGGGAATGGTTTGCAAAGCACTGCCTTTGGCTCTCTGGGTTGTACTCGCTTTTTTCTGCCCAGGTTGCCCTTTGGGGAAAAGGATTGGATTTGTCCTTGTAAATAAGCAGCCATGTGATAAGAAATTGGTCTTTACTGTAATAACAGAATGCTTAGCCACTGCATTTCCCCTTTTCAAATGCCGCCTAAGCTGCAGCAGTTGAAGCCGTTGATTGGGACTGACTGGATGGTTAGGGAGCTCAGAGCTCATTATGTAATGAAGGGTTGTAACCAAAGCGTGTTCCGGCTGTGTTTGGGGAATTTGGAGGCAGTGGTGGTGCTCTTCACAACATTTCAGTTAATACAAATTATGCAGCTTTTCATTTATTATGCGTATGTGCCAACTCCAGGGCTGATTTACAGAGAGCCACTTGTTTCCATGCTCTCCCATATGGCACGGCATAACCTGACACAATTTTATCTGCCTTTCCATCAGAGCCTGAGTGTCACCTAGACTTTATCTTTTTTCCTCTTCAGGCTACAGATGCACATGTTGAATGGAGCTCTTCTGGCCTTGCTGTTCCCTGTGGTAAATACCCGGCTGGTAAGTAGCCTCTTCTGGGAACGTATGAGCAATATACAGAATTTTGCTCATTACGTTATGCAGTCCTTGTCCTCGTCCTTAGCTCATGTGCCTATGTGAGTGTTAAAATTCTAGATACTGTTTACTCTTGGAAAACTGGGGACTGAACTGTGCAGGTTCAGTTATATGCAGATTTTTTTTCAATAAATACGTACGGTACAGTAAATGTATTTTCTCTTCTTTGTGATTTTTGTTCATATAACATTTTCTTTTCTGTAGCTGACTTTATTATAAGAATACAGAATATAATACATATAACATACAACATATCTATTAATCAGCGGTTTATGCTATTGGTAAGGCTTCCAGTCAGCAGTCGGCTGTTAGCAGTTTAAGTTTTGGGGGAGTCAAAAGTTACACGTGGATTTTTGATTGCACAGAGGTCAGCATAACTAACCCCGTGTTGTTTAAGTGTCAAGTATATTTAATGTTGAGGTTTGATACAGCTCTTTGGATGCAGTGGAGTGTGACAGGGGTGGGAATATTTTGTGGAACTCTGAGGCTGCAATAACAGTTTAGTCCAGAGCTAGGACAGACCAAAAAACCTGCAGAAGCTCTTGAAGAGGTTTGGTGGAGAAAAGGTGGGGGCTAGGGGCCCCACCCATTACACAGAGTCTTCCAGGAGTCCCTTAAGGGCTCTAGTGTGGACTCAGGCACATTGGACAAGGATAATCTGCTGGAGAGCCTCGAAGACCATCTGCTGTGATTCCTTCCCCATTCATCCAAACCCGCATGGCAGTCTGGGCCACACATACGCACTGTGGCCAGCACAGAGAACTCCACTATGGCAGGAAGCTGATGGAGAAACCAGCATAGAGACAAGCAGGAGCTACAGGGCTGGGTGGCAGGGCTCTGTCCTCAAATTCCCATGTGTAGGACTGCAAAAGCATTAGCAGGCCATATTTGAAAGCCCAGGGAAAGAAATCACAGGCAGAATCCTCCCTTCTGCTTTCTATTTTCATGATTTAAATTTGCCTGATGAATTAAGATCATTGTCTCAATCTCAGAATGATAATTCTTCCTCTTTGGATAACATTTTATAGTTTACAAGGTCTTTTTTTTGTTGTTTTGTTTTTTGTTTTTTGTTTTGTTTTTAGCTGAGCCATCCTGCCACCTGTTGGCAGCTCAGCAGCTGCTCAGCTTGGGCTGGACTCGAACCACTATTGCTCAGAGTTCAAACTCTTTTTTTTTTTTTAAGATTTTTATTGGGGTATTGTGGGGAAGGGAACAGTGCTGGGGAATTGGGGGAAGGGGAACAGACAAGTTGCTGTCGTTTCGTTCTTCACTCTAGTTGTGGAGGACGTTGCTTCACTGGCCCAAGTTGGCACCATCATCGCGCTCTTCCCGGATCATCGCGCTCTTCCCGGGCAAGGCAGATCAGTCGCCGGTTTCTGGACGGCCGCTCACTGCGGCTGCTGGCCGATCACGCTGGCTGCTGTCTACACACGGTAGCCCATGGCAACCCACTGCCACAGGGGCTGCAGCCT